GTCCCCCCGAAAAACCCTTGGAGGACAACTTGAGATGCTCCCACCGCCAACTCTCCTCTCTGCCCGCCCTGCTCTGGCATTGTCTGGAGGAAAACAAACTCGTGCTTTGTGGGGGCTGTCTATAAAACCCCCAATGCTCCTCCAGTGCTCTCCACCCCAATCATCACACCCCAAATGCTGAGCTCTTGTTCCCACCTCGTTAGCTACCAACTCCTGTAACACTCATTCACAGATAAATAATGTCCATAGCGATGAGGAAACTGGTGCCAGGGGTAAGGCCTGGTTCTCAAGACCTGGAGCTTAGAAGATGACAAAGTGAGAATGAAYATGTGAACTCCAAATTCATTTAAATGACTGCTCTTGCCTTATTAGATAGAGACTTTCCCAGCCAGCCCTGAAAATAACTGTGAAGCACCAACCTTCCAGATGTGGTCTGACATCCTTCCCTGGCAAGCAGTCCTTGCCCCATTAGCCCAATCCCATCAGGCACACTACTAGTTATAGAGATAACTGGATGGAGCAAATGTATTGACCATTTTGCATCCTGCATTGCAGTTCAGCATTGTGCCTTGCTCAACTCTTCACAAAAAACCAGGATACACCCTCAGTAACATGTCCCTAATATTATACATCACTTAAATATTAGTGGTTGGCTGTRGGACTGGGTAATTTCTGCAAACAGCATTCTTGACCCTAAATAGTGTTCAGCTGATGTGGGGCGAAAAAGGAATTACTGTTTGCCTGTAAAGTATTTAGCCCCAAGATAAATCCTTGGCTACAGCTACAACTGGACATCACATGCTTCTCCACCTCTTGCCAAAAATAACAAAGAATTTCTTTATTTACTTGCACAACTACACGTACTCTGCTATTTTTTCTCACTACTTGTTCCAGTATTTTCAACATGTGTCTGCTTGATTTTAACCTTTATTTAGGACCAATCCTTGTAATAAAGATTGTTAAGATGTGAAGTCACAATTTGAATTAATTAATTGGAGAAGACAGACTTATTGTACAGAATTACCTAAACCTAACATTGGAGTTAGTATCACAACACCACCAATACTCAATCTTGTAATTAATGAGACATAATTTAGGGCTGGGGGAAAAATAGGTGGGTGTCAGTGGTAGTAAATTRTAGGTCTCAAGAGCTGCTCATCACATCTATTGCTTACTAATTTTAGAAATATTAATCAAGCTCCTAAAAAGTAACATCCTACAGAATTATTTCTACACGTTTTATTAGCACATAAACAGAGAGAGCAAATGTTGATAAACATTTTGTTGATTACTTAACCATACAAACTCTAAAATGGCTTGACAAAAAAAAGAGCATTAAATATATGCTGATTCAATCCATACTTCATCCACAAATTTAAATTGACATACATCACCTCAAACTGTGATCCACTGACGAGTCACAACATAATTTATCCAGCAGGATTTTAGGATCTATTTCTAGCAATTTTCACATGTTTCACCATGCACCTTCTTATAGTTTGATAACCAGAACAATCCAAATACAGTTGTAAATTTGAATGGCAAAATTATTAATCCAGTGCTCCACTAGTACACATGCACAACTGTAACCAGCTTTCAGAAACAGATTTTAATTTAGATTTAGAAAAGAAGGGGTGACTTTGGGCTCATTAACCTCTCTTACCMTAATGTTCTCTCACTGGAGTTTTGACTTGGTCACGTTTGCTAAATGACAGCACTTCCCAAAATTTCCCAGCACTGTCAGTTCTGCCCTCATGTTCCAGTTTTTGCTAATTAGATCAAGCTACACTTCTACTCACCTTGCAACAGGAGTATCATCAGCGTGTAATCAAACTCTYAAATCTCTTTGAAACTCCTTCAGTCGCTTTTATGGAGCATCTCTCTGCAGAGCCATTATTTGCCTTTCCTTCCTTCCAGGCTCCCTCAATAAGCTTCGTTCTTTGGGGACTGTTTCAGTTCAAGGTTTCCTCATCCACTGCACATTTATTTCCTCAGCCTTAGGACTGAGAGCTGGCCAGAACCAGTGCAAGTTGTCCATCAGTGACTCCTAAGGATTACTTCGGCCACAAAAAAGTTTTCAAGTGCCCACAAAGCACAGTAAAACAACTTTTGGTGTATCAGTGAGCTTTAAACACTCTGATTAATGTTTCTATCAGAGKTTCAACATGACTGTGTCTGAGAAGCCTTCATATTATTTTTTTTTGTGTAGCCTGAAAAACATTAATTTTCCTAATTGTCCTAATTTTCTCTGGGCATACATTTTGTTGGCAGGCAACAGAGGGGTTAATGTGGAAACTCCTGTTACACCTGTAAGCACCGTGSACTACTGATAGGGTTTGGAGGGGAGTGTTTCATTTCAAAGTRCTTAAATAACTCAGTGGAAGGAGGCCCCGTGTCATTTAGATTCATTTCTGAAGTTCAGCATTGAAACACACACCTCTGTGGACTCTTGTTCCTCCTTGTTCCTAAGCCTTTGCAGGGGATAAGCACTAGTTAAGTGTGAGTGCTCTGAGTGGAAAAAAAGAGACAGAAGTTAGAAGAAGGCACTTCCAACAGATGTAATCTATTATGCAGCAAAAAGAGATAATCTGAGGACAAACACAAGCTAGAAGCTTTTGGCAGAACACCTACCAATGACATTTTTTTGCTATTTTTATTATCAAAAYCCTAAGTGTAGATGCAGACTGAAAATGCTTTGGCTAGAACAATTTGTTTTACTCATCAAAATATCAAAATACTTTTTACAGCCAGTATGAGTGGTTTATATCAGCTAATGCCTTGTTGATATCATCTAGACTCTTAATTTTTGAACAAGCTTGAGTTCTGAATGAGGCTCTGCTGTCCTAGCAAAGCCACAAAGATAAGAACAGCAGAAGGCAAGACCACAGGGCTGTAATTCCATCCATCAGGCCCTGTGTTCAGTCCATAATAACACGAAACAGCAAGCTACACTCCCAGATCATCACTGAAAAAGGGAGAGAATTGGCCTCTTAAAATTTCCCTGACCAGTTCAATTTCCCAATTGATAACTGCACTGAACATCCCATTTGGCAGAATTCATCTCACCCAGCAGCAAAGGGTTTYCTTGGGTCAGGTAAACACTCAATGACTGTCAGAGCTCACACAAAGAGGAAGACAGAGTTTTTTTCCTGTTCGAGAGAGCTGTGCAGGTTTCTCTTGAGTTTTCTGGGCAGAAATTATGAAATCCAAACAATTTCAGATACTGAAATATATCTGAAACTGCAGATAACCAGGCCTTCACCTAATTTAACGAGTACAAGCAGCAAGGACAGATCAACTCGAGGAGGGTGGAACAAGCCAAGGTTCCAAGTAAATTTTTCTTTTTTTACAACTTGCAGCCACAGTTTTTAGTCTTTCCCACACTACTTAATAATTTGTTAAGCAGAGAACTAATTCATGGTAGGATTTCAAATTATTTCACATTGGCTGAAATATTTTATGCTTACAAAATCTATCTTTCCAAAACAGCTGTAATGCTGGACAAAATTAAATACTTTTTTATCCTTACAATTCCTTATCTAAACTATTTTTAAAATGATGTAACTGACACTGAAGTGTGATTTGCATTATGAGAAACAAGCGTTCAATATTCTGCATTTGCATTAAAATATTTCAAGATCCAAATTCCTGCTGAAACATGTAAAGTGATCACAGTTACACTGATAAAAAGCGCTCTTTTAAAATATAAAAATTTAAATTTGCACTTCCCGATGATTACCATCATATTCAGATAAGCATAGTTCAAAGTTCCCCATCTCCCCTCCCCACAGMCATGCTTGCCAGCCTTCTGTTGCTGGGTGTAAATGGAAAATTACTTTCAAATTTAAAGCAAACACACACTTTGCTCCTTTTGCAACAACTGGAAGATCAGTTGAGAAGCGCTCTGTTTCCTGAATTCAAAATCACAGAGATTTCTCTATGCATTTTACACCGAGTCATTTGCAAATTTTAAAACACCTTTTCTACTGAGAAGAAAAAATCATTTTCAAATAAAAAGCATATTAAAAACTAAAATTCCAAYGATACTGTGCTAATTTTAAAAATTGTTAATAGCAATTATTGTCATTTTTTCCTGTTGTTTTGAAATAAGCATCAGTCAGCACCCTWCACTTAAGAATATTCATAGAGTATTGTCCACCAATGGTTGTCCTATAACCATTTC